TTCTTTGTGTAGTTTATTACATATGTATATATATACATATATGTGTGTATATATATTGTATATACATATGTATATATATACATATATGTGTGTATATATATTGTATATACATATATATTATATATACATATATATGTATATGTATATGTATATGTACACACACACACACACACACATGTATATATGTGTATATATATGTATGTGTGTATATATATATGTATATATGTGTATGTATACATGTATATGTGTGTATATACATGTATATGTGTGTATATACATGTATATGTGTGTATATACATGTATATGTGTGTATATACATGTATATGTGTGTATATACATGTATATATGTGTATATACATGTATATATGTGTATATACATGTATATGTGTGTGTATTTACATGTATATGTGTGTATATATACATGTATATGTGTATGTGTATGTGTATATATACATGTATATGTGTATATACGTGTATATGTATATATGCATGTATGTGTATATACACATGTATATGTATATATATATTGTGTGTGTATATATACATATATATGTGTGTGTATATTTCAATTATCATTTTTTTCTTTTCTTTTCTTTCTTTTCTTTCTTTCTCTCTTTGTCTTCTTTCTTTCATTTCTTTCTTTTTTTCTTCTTTTTCTTTCCCAGTAAGTCAAAATCTTAGTGCCATTTTTCATAAGTATTTTGCTAGACAATAGGTAGATGATCCCCAGTTTCAGTGAAATAAAGCCCCATTATTAATTTTCTCATTCTTCTTAGTTATCTTTTTACTTCATTGTATATCATTCTCTTTCCCCCCATTCCAGGAGGAGGTGCTGAACAAGAGAAGACCCGAGACAGCTGCCACACAGTTCAAGCAGAGTTTGGGCAACCTCATGGAAATCCTCATGATCAAAGAGCCTTCATACATCCGCTGCATTAAGCCTAATGATGAGAAGCGTTCCTGTAAGTTGCTGTTCTTGCTTCTGTTCCTGATTTTTTGTTTTCTTAACTCTTTATTCTGGGATGTCTCTCAGTCTGAAATATGAAGGAGTTTTCGTATGCAAAACTTTAACCCACTCTAAGGTCTTACTCTTTTCCCACAGCCTCCCTCACCCAGCCTCCAAAAACTACCTACTAATCTTTGATCCTGTCCAAACATACTCAAATAAAATCATATGTTATTTCAGGCAGCTTCAACATTGAGAGAGTGAGCCACCAAGTCAAGTATCTCGGACTGATGGAAAATCTGAGGGTCCGAAGAGCCGGCTTCGCCTACCGCCGTCTCTATGAGATCTTCTTGGCACGCTACAAGTCCCTCTGCCCAGCTACCTGGCCCAAGTACCCAGGCCCTGCCAAGGATGGAGTCAAGGCCATTGTGGACCACCTGGGATACCACCCAGAAGACTATCGCATGGGAGAGTAAGTTTGGTTATGGGGCTTTTCTACTTTGATTTTGTGGTTTTAGATTGTTTCTGTATTAACATTGTTGTTTTCATTATTTGTTTTTGTACAGCTTTGATATTGTTACAATCTTGATTCTTTAATTATTTTCACCATTAGACAAACAGATGATTTTAATGTACTGAATCACTCATTGACCCAACAGTAATCTTCATCTTTGTTTCACAGAACGAAGCTCTTCATCAGACTGCCAAAGACCCTGTTCTTCACAGAGGACCGCTTCCAGATGCGTAAGGCAGAGCTGGCCACAATGATTCAGGCCAAGTGGAAGGCTTTCATGTACCAGCGCAGGTACCAGAAGATGCGTGATTCCGTGACCAGGATAGCCAAGCACTGGAGAAGGATTAAGGCCCAGAGACTGCTTGCCAGGAGGAAGTGGGCAGTGGGAGTTGTGCGTGCGTAAGTATTTAGGACATACTGCCTTTGTAGTAGTATATAAGCAGAATCACATGGGCGCTTTATTACCAATGAATCTCTGATAACATGTGTGACTCTTAGAATGTTGATTCTCAATGGTTGATGCACACATCAATTGTTTTCAAGTCCACAGATTATATCATGTAGATGAGCATGCACATTTAAGCTGACTGAAAAATAAGAGTTTACAGGTAAGACATCCTTCCTCTTCAACAATTCTGGTTTTGTAATCATTATCCCCTGAAATGAATCCCTTTGTTTTTTTCCCGCTCAGCTTCATCAAGGGCTTCATCACAAGAAATGAACCTGTGAACCCTATCAATGAAAGGTTCCAACAGCTCGTGAAGTGTGAGTTCCTACTGAGGTTGTCCAAGAGCCTCCCAAGCAACCTCCTCGACACCAAGTGGCCCCCATCCCCAGCTCCCTGCAATGAGGCCTCAAACATCCTGCATGTGTGTAATTTATTTCCTTCTGGTGTATGGTTATGTTTTCTAAACTTGTAATTGAGAATGACAAAGTATGATGAATATTTCTCTGAATGGTTTGTAGGAAGTGAATAGTGTTTATTGTGACAGTTGTTGAAAAAGGTAGGCATTGAGAAAAAAGTTAATTCTTCCAATTCATTACTCACAAAACAAGAGATACAAAAGTAAGTCCATTTATCTGTACTCTATGGACTTTTTGGTTACTAGGAATTTCCTTCTTCCAGGGTATGTACCGCACTTACATGGCCAGAAGATATGTGAAGGCACTAACCTCAGAAAAGAGGTCCATGTTTGAAGAGAAGGTTCTGGCTGAACAGCTGTTCAAGGGTAAGAGCAATTGAGATTGGTTTTTAACCCAATGGCCCCAAATGGTATAAAAAAAAGAGAAAAAAAAAGCCATATCCACTGTGATTTTACTTTAGTTATTATGTATACAGATAGATGGCTCCACAAGTGGTTAGTCACCAAGAAATAATCCTAATCCTTATCAACATAACCATGAGGTATTTCTGCTAAGGTTACTATGCCCTCCCTTTAAATATTGAGAGAAATAATATCCCAATAAGTTGTCCCAGAAATCCTGGAATTTTTCGGATATTGAAAAATAGTTGTTAAATCAAACTATACTTTTTATATTGTATTGAGCCATTAAGCTTGTCACACCAAAAATAACCATTGTAACAAATGTTATATATAATGTGATTAGTATATCCTTTGACTGCCTACATGTTTACATAAAATGAGGCCATTTTGTGCTAAGAGTTTTAAGATAATATAAATATTTTAAGGAAATATGAAAAGCATGTCCTACAGCACTTCCCATGAGTATTAGATTTACATATTCTTTTCAGAATTTGCACATTTTTACCCAGAACAAGCTCCCCACAGTGAATGTTATTTTGGGGGGGATATGCTCAAAAAGTGATTATCATGTTGTACTACAATTGATATGTATCATTGTTTATACTTTTCCCCCAAATTTGAGAAGCAACTCTAAGTGATGGAGTTTTACTTACACTAGGGAGGTTAGACTTTATGAGAACATGGCAAGACATGGACTCATTCAAGCTAAAAATATATATATTTTTTTAATTGATTATGGATTTCAAACACTCACTCGACCAATCAGATCACACCTGATGATGGTAAATGTTGGAAACTCAAAATAGACTGGTTGGAATAGTATGAGTAATTAGGACTAATTTTAACATGATGATATATTACATATTCTTATGTTTCCAAGTATAATCTGCCTTAAGCAAAATTAAAAATCTATAAAGTCTGCTGTAGAAATTAAGTGCCCAAATCATGACATCTCCATATCATGCCACTTTGCCCAACAGTCAGAGTAAAAACTAATGATGTGATCAAGTGTCCCCAGGCACCTGGGTTTTTAGTGATGACTTATAATCTGTTGAGAATGGATTAGATGAGTTATTAATTTGATAAAATTACAGGTCAGAAAACTAGCTACATGGACATTCTTCCTCACTGGTTCATGACCTCAAGGCTCACTCCAGAGGATGAGAGTCTGAGAAAAACAGCCTTCGAAGACATCATCAAGACCCCAGGAGAAAAAACAAAGGTGAGGATGATCTTGTACCTTCTGTAAGTGACTAACCTCTTTCATTGTGCACTTAGGTGACTTATAAGTAACTTGCCATAAGTTGTAGATAATACCGGATGATTTGTCAGTGCTCACCGTATATAGATATAGAAATCTTAATTTAATATCAATAATCCTTCATATTCTTCATATCAGTACTGCATCCCATGCACCAAGTATGACCGCCACGGCTACAAGCCTCGGGACCGCCTACTGATCCTAACTTCTGGGGCCTTGTATCTCTTGGAGGCCAAGGAAAATAAGCTGAAACAGAAGCACAGATTCTCCCTGAAGGAGGTCCAGGGGCTCCATGTTTCTCCCAACACAGACAACTTTCTCCTGGTTCAGATCCCAGTAGAAAATGCCAAAAAAGACAAGGTGAGTTAAGAAAGAGAACGAGATGTTTAGTTATGCATACAGATTAATAGACCATGACAAGATAAGCTGAAATTCTCTTACCTTGATGAGAAAGAAGTAAGAAAAAATTTGGTTGCTTATAATAAGGACACAATGATTAAAAATATGTAGTCATCTTGTTGGAAATAACACAAATATTTTTTGGCACTTTATTGAATTATTCATCCAATTTCCACAGGGTGACCTCATCCTCAATGTTCCAAATGTCATTGAGGCTGTGACAAAGATGATTTCGATCAGTGACAACGCAGAAGTCTTGAAGATTGCTGAGACAGAGACGTAAGGCTTGAGATGTTTTACAGTATTTTACCTTTTTTTTTTAATGATGTAGATTGTATTGATTTTTTACTTATTTATTTATTTTTTACTTGAGGTAGAATTGTTAATCTATTCTTAGACTATAGATCTATTTCCTTTATGATTTTGAATTTTGAATATAAAAAAAATCATTCCACTTCCCAGTATTGGACACACCATGAAGAATGGCAAGCAAGGCACAATTCTTCTGGGGAAAGGCAGCAGCATCACCACTATAGACAAGAACAAGGAAGGCAAGCTGGCAGTGGTAAGTGTCCTTGCCTCTGCTTAGGAATGGGTTCTGGTTCATCTTATTTG